ACATTTCCTTTATGAGTAAACTGAATATATATAGAAACAAAGCTTCTATGAATTTCACTTTCATTTCGTCATCGATACCAGGAAAGGACTGTACTATAATAATTATTGATTTGTTTACTTTGCGTATTTTATTCATTTATTGTATTTTCATTATATTCTGTATAATTTATGTAATAACCTGTTCACGAATACTGGGAAGGTTTTCGGGCAGTTTCCCTTCTCCAAAGCAACGAATGTTGGTATTCTTTGTCTAGTTCTGCCCATTCGAGTCATATTAAAGTACTGAATTCATTAAATGCAATCTCTCTCTCAAATACACCGGATTCTTAATTATCTGTTCCTTCCTCATCTAAATCTAGAGTTCAGGCTTGTGCGCGAGCTTGTGCAAACATTGGTCCTTCGAGCCGGATATAGATTTGAGATTCCGGATAAAATTATTAAATTCGAGATTCATTTTGATTATTGTTACATTTATAAATTAACGTCCGGATTGAGGAAGCGACAGATCGAGTTTCGCGAAGGTTTACAAATAGAGACAAGTGATAGATCATTCCGCCTGAGTCATTTCTAGTTTGAGATCGGTAAATATTTACATTCCGAACAATGGATTCAATATTCGATTATTTTAATCAACAATTACAAATGAGTCAATTCATAGCAATCGCGTATAAAAACTTTATTGACAGTGATCCGTCGACACCTACACAAACTAAAATAGACGAGCATATAGGTTACCTTAAACATAAGTGGAATAGGTTTACTTCAATGAACGACACTATTCTATTGGCAGTCAATAAACTCGGAAATGAGGATAAAAAATTAGCGCTATCTCATTCTTACTTCGTTGATCAATTATTCTCAACTACACGTACGTGTTACCTAGCAGCTGTTGAACAGATCAAGTCGAGTCTTTATGTAAATGAACCTGTTGTGGTAGAATCGAATCTTAGGGAAGAGGAATCAGTTGTCGCAAGGTCTAGTTCTCATATAAATGAACCAATAGCAACAAGGGATAGTGTAATTACAGAACAACCAGTTTTAACTAATTCTTTGTCTGTTCAATCTTTGTCTAATGAGATTCCTTCGACAAGCGGTTATCCATATTCAAGGCTTCCGCGTATTAAAATTCCTACCTTTGATGGTAATCCGGCAAAATGGTTAGAATATCGAGATTTGTTTGCTTCTATGGTTGTATCTACATCCTTAAATCCCGTTGAAAAGTTACAATATTTAAAAACTAGTTTAACCGGTACAGCATCTCAATTAATTCAAAATACGGCATTAACTACAGAGAATTTTTCAAAGACATGGGAATCGTTAGTATCGTTTTATGATAATAATCGACTTCAGATCAACACAGCATTAGATTCCTTATTCAATCTAAAGCCTATAACAAAAGAATCTTCTGTCGAATTAGAACTATTGTATACCACTGTGCTGCAAATTCATAGCACTTTGGAAACTTTGCAACAGCCAGTTGAAACGTGGGATGTCATTTTTGTTCAGTTGACGGTACTAAAGTTGGATTCAGAATCAATAAAAGCATGGGAAAATACATTAGGTTCTTCAAAAATCCCTCCATCATGGAAAGAGCTTATAAATTTTTTAGTTACTCGTCTTTCTTCACTGCAGGCGTATGAAAGGTCTCGAGGGGACAAATTTACATTCAGGGCTTCAACCAAACATCATTATCTACAAACGTCAGATGACGATTCAACATCTAATCCTTTTACTTGTTTTATTTGTAATGAAAAACATTATAATGTAAGATGTCCTAAGTATGTCAACGGAACTATAAATCAGAAGTTATATCTCATAGCCGAACACGGGTTGTGTTTTAATTGTTTAGGGAATCATAAGGTATCAATTTGCAAAGTAGAAAAACGTTGCAAGAAATGTGGTCAAAAGCATCACACAACGGTACATATCCCAGAACTTTCTTCGAATACGATAGATCCATTAGATGAAAAATCAGAGTCTCAATTATCATCCAGTACTAGTAAGAAAGAATAAATCTAAAATTTTACTTAACGATCCGTATACTTGCTTTCGTATTTGATCAGGTTCGTCACGGCGGGCGGTATTCTATAACCCAAGTATACTCTGCAGATCTTTCTATTAAGAACGCCTCAAATCACCAAGCTAAATTCTTTGTTTGCTTGTCGCATTCTTTAGTTATTTATTCGTCAACTACGTTAACGAAGGCGGGCGGAATGTTTGAAGTTGAAAGAGTAGAGAGAGAGAGAGAGAGAGATTGTATTATTCTTTTGGCGGCCATCAGTGTCGATTGTAATACAATAGGTTGCCGCGCATTCTACGTAGTTCTCGGAAAAAGCGAGCGAGCGGCGCCGACAACGTTGCGTCCCAGGCGGCAACGCACACGTGTGCCGCGCATGCTCGAGCATGTTAGGAGGGGCGCGCAGCCCGGCCGAGCGAGCATTCGTTTCGCAGAGCTCGAGCGTGAAACATCGTGCTCGTTTGCAAAAGTCGATAGTGTTGCGTTATATTTTTGGTGTCGCGTCATTCAGTTTTGAATCGTATATCCGTGTCTAACATTGTGATTAATTGCATACCGTACTTTATTCAACGATATATACTTGACACTGCGAACATTACCGAGAGGAATCCAGGGATATCCGTCCCGGCGAGCCAAGCCGGCACGCGGACCGAAGGAAGGCAGCCATTTGCTACAACGTTCGAGAGAACTGTTGCGACAGGAATTACGACCCCTTTCGAATTCTGAAGGAAGGAAGCCATTTTCAGTTACATTCGAAACACCGTCTTTTTGAGTTGATCATTACTATTTCCAACAAGAACTGTAATCAAATTCGTAATTATCAGGTACCGCCTTTTATTAGTACGAGAAAGAGACAGTTAGACCCCGTCTAACATTACAAAGAATCCCC